CCCCCCAATTTTTCCTCTCTGTGGGGGGGGGGGGGGGGGGGGGGGGGGGGGAAGAAACGACGGCATGGTGGCACATGGTAGATCCTGGTAAATGCCAAAGGTGATCTCCTACTTAAATAGGTCGAAGACCACTGATGTAGACCCTGAAGGATTTATATTAAGAAATGACTGTAAAGCATGGTTCTTAATGCGGCTATAGAGAGAGTTTTAAAACAATGCTGCACACTTTGTCTCAGATGCCTGAGCACACACAAAGCATGGCCGTTTATTCTAACCTAGGAGTGGCTAACCTGAGGCATGTGCGCGAGAAGTGACATGGGCACCCTCTGTGTGGGGCACACAACAGACTGGTAAGGGGAAAGGCATCCTGGTGTCAAATAAGGCAGGGAATAGAAAGAGCATCAGCTTAGACTGGGAGCACAGGGGACAGGGCTGAAAGCAATGCAGCAGGTCAAGCAAGGAGAAGGATCTGGAGTGGCACACCTGTCCGAGTTGGCTCCCACTGTTCTATGCCAGAATAAGTGCTGAAATTCACTGGCTCTGTCCACAACAGCAGGATGAGAATCCAGCACTGGCTAAGGGCAAGCCACAGCAAACATCTTATGTGAAAATCAAAACACAGCAGAAAATCCTAATATAGTCAATAGTTACCACAAGTTCCCTTTTGCCTGGTTTGAAAAGCAAACTGAAGAGAGGCTAAACTGCAAGCGGTCAATATTAAGTTAGAAATAAAGAACATACAAGAATCAGGTTATTTCACCTCAGAGTTTACCCTTGGCTGAACAAAAAAGGTTCTCAGAAGCAGAAAGGTTAGTTGGAAGCAAAAGACAGGCCAGTTCCCTTGGTGAAACTTAAGGAACCCTCCTTTGTACAATAAGGAAATATTGGGAGACTTCTGTAACAGAAGATAAGTTTTACCGCATAGTACTAGGGTTGATACAGGATTAGTCTAAACTTGTTTCAGAAAAGCCAACAGACGTAATTAATATCCAGCTTACCTGTATACTTCTTGTGAAACACAGTCGTAGAGTTCCTCAGCAGTAAATTTTATGCTGCTGTTTATCTGAGGGTGGAGAGAGTTACTTAAATCAACCCAATATGTATGAACATCTTAATCCAGGCAATTTAAATTTCTGAATGGAAAGCCTCAATTAAAAAGAACTGATTTTAACCAACTTTGCTTCTCATTAGTTGATATAAATCAATGAAACCTGTAGGTTTACCGTTACAAAGAGCCACCACACTAATTTGGTATGTACTTTTGCTACCTAGAACCCACATCAAGTATACACATTTATGTATGCCATTACTGCTTAATATTTTATATTTACTGTTGAATAGTTTTAAGTTTTTAGTGCATAAGAAAATGGCCAGTGTCAGTGATATATTCCCCTAAAGGACTGAGCTCTTAATATATGACATGATCTGACCTGTTGTGTAATATTTATAAAATCTTAACCTCTAAAGTTAGGCATCCCCCCTCCACCCAAAATTCTCTACCTTTCCATAGAAAAAATAAAACAAAGCAAGAACCAAACAGCCTGTAATCAAAGTTTATGAAGAGAGACTCATGGATTAAGTATTTTTGTTTTTAATTAAAAGGTTCAAGAGAATAAGTTTAGGCTTTATCAGTCAATTAAAATGTATTTTTAAACCATCTTTTTATATTAATCAACCTTATAATCACCAATTAAAAAAAAAAAAAAAAATCACACAACTGATGAAATATGCACGTGCCCTTATGATTAAGTATGTAACCAGCAGGCACCCAAGGCTAGACAACTGGAAAAAAGTGTGACAGATTATGTAGTTTGAGGGGGTATAAGTGTATTGTATCAAGATTTGGAGACTGCTCTCTACATGTTGGAAGATAGTGAAACCATCAGCACTCTTGCAACAGAAGCAAATTAGGTGCATGATTATTTCTGCAGCTGTGTAAGTGCTTCTGCTTTCTGGGGAAAGCGTTCTTTTGATGCTGACTTTTAAAGCGGTTTTATTTTCCAACATTGATAGTTTAAACTGTTGTACTGGAAATACATTCAGAGGCATGTATTAAAATGCCTCAAGGAAGATGACTTAGTGAAAAAGGGTCTGAAAAAATTATTAAAAAAATGGTTAAGTCAGGTTTATATTTCAAGAATGACTTAAGGGGGTATTTCAATATATACCAATTTAAGAAGAAAATGGATACAAACAGATCCTTCACAAATAGTGAATTTACAGTAATCTAGTGCAACCTAGAAGTTAGTAACCTAGGCAAAAAACTTGACAGACACATGCAATACATTACCTTAAAATGTCTATGTTACAGGTATCTTACAATTAACTGCACAATTACCATGAGACCAGCTACATGTGCAAAGTACCTATTACACAATAAAAAGTTCCGACCAGCTATAAAGTTAGACCTTAAAATCCATACTAACTTTATAGGTGGTTGCTACTGAGCTTAAATTTGCATATGTTAGCTGATGGGTCCATAGGAGTGCTCCATACACAGACCAGCAGCCGCCATTCTGGGTTCTGGCTACACGGGGATCCACGGTCTCTGAGGCTGCCCTGGGCGTGCGTGAGGCCCTGGGGCTGCCATCTCTCTATGGCTGAGAGAGTGCAGCCACCGCAATCCCCTAGCCCTAAGGCTGCATGGGATGCCCCTGTGGCTGGAAGCCTCTCAACTGAGGGGTGCCCAGCCTCAGAAACTTGCTTCTTACTGGTGCAGGGGGAGCCCAGGATTGGGCTCCTTCTGCACCGGCGATATGGTGTGATGGGCTCTAATGCACAATCCCCGAATCATGCTTTCTGCTATGCATGTGTGGCATTGCAGGAAGCACAATTGTGGATTGCGCATTAGATCCCATCACACCTTTACCTGCATGTACAGAGGGGCCCTAAAGCAAAGAATTCAAGAGCTGGATAAAATTTTACTAATGGGGAAAATAGACACCGATGAGGAATTTTACTTGAAGTCGCACCATCAATCAGTCTCTATGGGAGAGTTAGAAGTCGGGGGGGGGGGGAATC